GTTGCTTGATACACTTACATTTTGAGTGAAAAATCCCACTTATATTTTAAGACTGCATAACAATAAATAGTCCACACTGTTAACTTATTGCTTCACCAAAATGGAATAGGAATCTTCAAAAGTTACTGCCTCTTCATTTACATTTTAATGTTTATTTTGCTATTGTACTGTTGGGTTAAATTAGGGATATACCAATGGATACTTACTCCTTCAGCATGAGTTGTGGATCCATGTTCTGGAGGATAGTTTTTAAATATCCTCTGTATAACTATAACTTTAATAAAGTGTTGTAGCCCTGGCTAGTGTGGCTCAGTTGGTTGGGCATCCTCCCATGCACCAAAAGGTTGCTGGTTCAATTCCTAGTCAGGGCACATGCACAGGTTGTAGGCTCGATCCTTGGTAGGGGGCATGCCATATAGAGACAATCAAAATCTCATATCTCTCTCTCTCTCTCTCTCTCTCTCTCTCTCTCTCTCTCTCTCTCTCCCTTTTCCCTTGCCTCCTTCTCTTCCACCTTTCCGCTCTCTCTAAAAATCAATGGAAAAAAATATTCTCAGGTGAGATTTAAAAAACAAAGATAAAACTTTTTATACTAATTTAGAGTAAGAATATCTAGCCATAATAAAAGGGTTGGCTATATATATATATATATATATATATATATATATATATATATATCTCCACATTCTTGTCTGCTAGAGGTGATGTGTCATTTAAAGATCTAGGTCCTCAATAACGTCAATCATTCTGGGAAGAAGACCTTCTCACAGAGAGCAAAACTCAGTAGGAATGCCCTAGATAGCCACAGAGTTGACATCTGCCTTTGTTAGTCTTGGCTCTGAGGTTTTAAGCCATCATAAAAATGTAATAACATCATAAGATGGTGTCCACCACATGGAAGCTGGCCAGGGGTTAGGAAATAGGAAACTAGGCAAGGCTAAGATTGGGGTCCATTCTGGGGCCACAGGACTAAAGTGGTACATTTCTTAGAGCTAATGAGGATCAAAGCAAGTTAAGTTGGGAATTCAACATATTTAGAAAAAGGCAAAAGTACTTTGTTGGCTACTCTGTCACACCAGTTCATTTATTTTCTTGCATTCAATCATTTATTTGACAAATAGTTGAGTTTATGTGACAGGCACTGTGTTAGGCAAAGGGCAATATATTAGTAAATAACAAATGTAGTCCCTGAACTCATGGAGTTGAAACCAAATGAAGGAGAGACACTTAAGTAAGTAAGCAAATAGTATGAATTACAAATTATTATAAATGTGACTGAAGAAACAAACAGTATGCAAGAATAGGAAACAGCAGTGAGAGAGGTTACTAGGGGAAAGTAGGCCTCTTTAAATTGACATTTACAGTAAGGCTGGACAGAAATTGAGCTTCAGCCTTGTGGTGAGTCATAAACAATAATTCCAGGCAGAGCCCTGGCAGGTGTGGACCATACACTAAAGGGTTGCAGGTTCAATTCCTGGTCAAGGGCACCTACCTGGGTGACCGGTTCAATCCCTTCCCCTGGCTAGGGTGTGCATGGGAGGGCAGCTGGTCAATGTTTCTCTCTCACATCAATGTTTCTCTCTTTCTATGTCTCCCTCCTTCCTTCCTTCCCTATAACTCTCTCTAAAAATCAATGGAAAAATATCCCCCAGGGATGTTTAACAACAACAACAAAATAATAGTTCCAGGCAGAGATTATAGAATGTCTACGTTTTGCAGTTTGATGTGTTCTGAGGAACTGGGAAGCGATAAAACCCCCCACATAATTTCCTCCTAATACTAACATACTGAAGATCTTCCTTTAGTAAGGAAGATAAATTCCTTTCCCCATGCCAACTACACAGGTACTGATTCCACTTCCAGTTTTCTCCACTCTTAATAATGTAGAATCTGTTACAAAGACTAAGAGCCACATGTCCATAGATACTTAGATATCCACGATAAAGATTAGATTTTTTATTAATATTAAAATAGGACTAAATTGAATTTCAATATTGCTTCTACCTGCCTATAGACCATGTGCTTGGAAGTTCCCACCTCTTGGCCTTAGTTTGCACACTATACTTTTTGCAGGCCAGACCCCCAATATTGGGAAACTGCCAACTGAATAGGGAATCATGACCTAGCAGGGGCAGCGAAAACAAGCCGGCTTATTGCCAGTGTTTGGTAGACTACCAGAGTGGTCCCACCTTTACCCTTAGTCACAATGCCAGTATCAGAGCACTCTATAAATAGGGTTCTAAATTAGAGCATCACTCAGAGCTTCGGTTGGACCCCACACTTACCTGGGTTCACTTCATATGGGATCATCGATGTAAAGTGCCTGACATATGACAGGTGCTCAGTACATGGTAGTGCTCTCCCCTGTGGAAGGCTCTAGTGAGAGTAGTTTATTGTGGAAACACCCTGGTTATATATCTACTTTAATCTGTTCTGCAGTTAGCTTTGAAAATCATGACTGTTCTGCAGTTATATAAGCCTATCTCTGTCTTAGGGGGAATTTAAAATAGTCTTAGACTCAGGCATTCCTTCTTTGGGACCAGCCCTGGGCTCCATTGTCTCTTTGCAAGAAGCAGTAATAAGAGCTGGTAATCTTCCAGGGCAAAGGGTGTGTGATACAGCAGTGCCTGGGGTGAGTCAGCAGATTGGCTTTGGAGCTTGAAGCTTTACAAAATTCAGGGGCAAGTTCCTGGCACTTGGTGCAGAGAAAGACAATAGTTTGCAGCTCTGCAGGAGAGCCTCAAGTGTATGGAGAGCAGTGTCAGGAGACAAGACGGAAGGGAACACAGGGCCTGGTCTTGGAGTTTAAGTCCTGGCTCTGCTTTTTATCAGCTATGCAAGTTGGGCACTTTCTTTCACATTTGTCCTATTTTCTCAACACTAAAATGGGAACTATGATTTCCCCAGCCTACTCCACAGCATATTAGGAGATGGTATGAGGTAGTCTCGGGTACCCTCACCAGCGGGATCTTCAGCAAGTTCCCCTCCTCAGGCTGCTGGAGTGTGGAATTTTCATGTCTCTGAGTGCGCCCTGACCAGAGCTGCATTCCCAAGGCTCTTGCATGAGGGATACAACCCAGTCCACAGCAGTTTTCAGATTGTTTCCTCCAGGCTCTGCATATTCATTCAACAAACATTTCTAACCTGCCTGCTATCTGCCAGGCTGAGTTAAGTGCTGAATTAATTGCTGGAACTACACTGACAAAGAAAACATGACCTCACCCTAGTGCAAATTATGATTCATTTAGTAAGGGGGAGAGACAATAAATACATAAGCGCATGAATAAACATAATTTCAAATTATCATGAAGGAAATAAAACTAGTTTTAGTAGTAGAAAATAATGGAAGAAGAGGTTTTTTTCCCATTTTTTTTAAAAAAAGAGGTTTTTAGTAAGATGGTCAGTAAAGGTCCCTCTGAAGAAGTGGCATTTAAGCTAATACTTGGACACTGTTCCTCTCTAGTGGGACTGTGCAGTGTAATTCCCCGTGAGGAATCCCTATGTTGCCTGGTGCTAATCTCCCTTGTCCCCCACAAAGCAATTCACTTCCCAAACCTGCCTTTGACTTTCTCTGCTCTGAGCCATGGCCATGGGATTTCTCAAGCCCCATTTTTCAAGGGAGGTCTGTGTCCTTGTTCTTCCCTCTGCCCCTTTCTGGCTTCCACCTCCAATTAGAAATGATTTCCAAAAAGCACCCATCGATTTACGTGTGCAATAGATGGAAACCACTGTCTGCTGTATAACTTCAAGTCTTAAAGCACATTCCTTTCATTGTGAATATGGCCTGATGCCAAGCGCAGCTGGAGACCTCTAAGCAAACTGTTTTCAGAGGAATAAAATGTCCAAATGATTCCTGAATTAATTTGATCTCACACAGAAACCTAATTTTTTCTTCCATTCTTCTACCTTGCAGCAGTTTAATTTATATGCCAATAAGCTCTGATGTGCAATAACTGTAATTGTGAGCCATGTTCATTTATCAGTCATTTCACTCTATGTGTACCTCTCCAAGATTTAAATGCCTCCATCTGCCTCAATATAAGCCCAAACAGTTCTATGTGTCAGTAAAGGAAACTTCCAGAGAAATGAATCCACCAGCATTAGTGCTTCCATTCCAAACAAATAAGTAAAAACTTGATCATTTAATTATGATCGATCATCTTAAATAAATCACCATGTAAAGGTTATCTGTGTCACATTGTAGAGTAACTTAATAAGGGTCCTGTCTGACTTTTTTCAGGATGTGAAAGTGATAGGAATTCAATCTATGATTTTGTTTCTTACTTTTCTTCTGCCAAAAGGCATGGAATGCTCCCCAGGTGTTTTGAAAAAGTCAAAGTGGACCATCAAATTAAAAGCAAATATCATTCTAAAATCTAATGAAGGTCTCACACTAGTGCTTCCTTCCATATTTATCTTTAGCACATACAGAATGTAATTTTATAAAATACAGGTTTTTCAAGAAAATTCCAGCTCTTAGCAACCCCAATATGATTAAAGATTAAAGGCATAACTGCCACAGACCACAAGCTCAATTGTTACCCGGACTAGAATTCAAACAGGTCTCTCTCATGTTTTCCTCTGAGATCATGGTATTAATCCTCCCCAGGTTAATATAGAGCTAAAAAGAAAATTCAAAAATGTCTGATATACATATGCTGTTCATAAGAGACTTCACTTCAGATTGAAAGACACACAGATTGGATGTAAAGGGATGGAGAAAGTTATTTCAAGAAAATGGAAACAAAAAAGCTTGGGTAGCAATACTTATACCAGAAAAAATAGGCTTTAAAACAAAAGCTTAGGCATGCGCCAGCGCCAGCGCCCGGGCCGCCTGTGTGGGGGCGTCTGTAGGGCTCTTTCCTGGGTCTCAGCCACCTACGCCCACAGAGAGAGTCGGACTCACGCTACTGCCCCCACCCCCGCGGCGACCCCCGCTCCCGCTGAACCACTTTTCCCCCTTCTACACTCTCGGCCCCTCCCCCACCCCGCCCCTATCCCAGCGTGTCCCTGCCGCAGCAGCAGAAACCACACCGTCTGCATCCCCACATTCTCCACGCGGGACGCGCAGCCTTGCGACAAGTGTTCTTAAAGCAGAGATGAATAATACTGCAGCCAGCCCAATGTCTACTGCCACTTCAAGTAGTGGAAGAAGTACAGGAAAGTCTGCAAGCTTTGCCTCAGAATTGCAGAGTATGATGTTTTCTTTAGGTGATTCTAAGAAGCCTCTTCATGAAACAGCAGTTTTGGTAGAAGATGTGGTACACACTCAGTTAATTAATCTGTTACACCAAGCTGCTGAAGTTTCTCAGCTCCGGGGAGCAAGGGTAGTATCTCCTGAAGATCTTCTGTTTTTCATGCGCAAAGATAAGAAAAAACTTAGAAGACTGTTAAAATACATGTTTTTCCGAGACTACAAATCAAAGATTGTCAAAGGCATAGACGAGGATGATCTTCTTGAAGACAAAATGAGTGGCAGTAATAATGCACACAAAAGACAGAAAACCGCACAGGACTTTCTCAACTCTATTGACCAAACGGGAGAACTCTTGGCGATGTTTGAAGATGATGAAATTGATGAAGTTAAACAAGAAAGAATGGAGAGAGCAGAAAGACAAACTCGAATTATGGATTCAGCCTAATATGCAGAATTCTGTGAAAGTCGACAATTGAGTTTCTCCAAAAAAGCCTCCAAATTTCGAGACTGGTTGGACTGTAGCAGTATGGAGATAAAACCCAATGTTATCGCTATGGAAATTTTGGCATATTTAGCGTATGAAACTGTGGCACAGTTAGTGGATCTGGCTCTACTTGTGAGGCAGGACATGGGAACCAAGGCAGGAGACCCGTTCGGCCACGCCATTTCGGCCGCCTTCATTCAGTATCACAGCTCTGCCGAGGGATCTTGCATGAAGTCCTACCCAGACTCCCCTGAAAATACACCTCCTCCTACACCAACAGCTCCATCCTCTGGACCACAGCATGCAGGGAAAGCCACAGCAGGATCCCTCGGGAATGGGAATGCTGGACAAGACTCAGCAAAAACCAAGCGAAGGAAAAGAAAAAAGAGCACTGCACCTGTGGTGTTGAGGCTCACAGCGATGCCATCCAGCCCTGCCACATCAGAGAGGCCATTTGGCGCTACGGCCACAAGATTGGCCCCCTTTCCCCATTCATAGTACGTAATAACAGAGTTATAAAAAGTTATATTTATAATCTGAAAGAATTTTGATTTTCAAGTGGTCAAATGAAGAAGCAATGGAATTGTTGAAAGCAATTTGTGGTGACTGTAATTTTGTTGTATAAAAGTGGCATAATTCTCTTGGGAAATAAAAGTTAGTCATTTTTGTCTCTTTTAAAAAAAACAAACAAACAAAAAAAACAAAAGCTTAAACAAGAGATAAAGAAGGACCCAGCAATTCCACTTCTGGGTATTGAAGAAACCCAAACCACTAAATCAAAAAGACATAAGCATCCATATGTTATTGTAGCATTATTTACAATCGCCATCATCTAAGTGTCCATCATAAATGAATGGATAAAAAAGAAGTGGCACATATATACAATGAAATATGACCCAGTCATAAACAAGAATGAAATCCTGCCATCTTCAAAACCATGGATGGATTGGAGGGTATTGCGCTGAGTGAAATAAGTCACATTGAGGAATGCCAGATGATTTCACTTATATGAGGAATCTAAAAAAACCAAAATAAATGAACAAGCATAGCAGAAGCAGACTCATAGATACAGAGAACATTTTGATACTTGCCAAATGGGTGAGGGGTTGGGAGAAAGGTAAAAATATTGAAGGGACTAAGAAATACAAATTGATTGTTATAAAATAGTCACTGAGATGTAAAGTACAACATAAGGAATATAGTCAATAATCTACACGAATAAAAGACAAATATGCTAATTGACCATACCTTTGCTACACCCACCAGCCAATCAGAAGAGTATGCAAATTAACCCAACAAAGATGGTGGTTAATTTGCATACACAGGCACCCAGCGAAGACTGAAGACAGTGTAGAAGGAAGCCAAGCACTGCAGAAGGGAGCCAAGCGGTGGAGAAGGAAATGATCAGAGGTAGCAGAGACAGGAGCAGAGCTGAGGCAGCAGACATAGGAGGGAACGAGGAGGCAGAGAAGGGAGGGAGCAAGGTGGCGGGGATGAAAGGAAGCCAGGCGGCAGAGATGGGAGGGAGCCAGGCAGCAGAGACGGGAGGAATCGAGGTGGCGAGAAGGGAGCGAAGCCCGCCGGCTTCTCTCCCTTCTCCACTGCTTAGCTCCGGCCTCAGGAAGCCCTATTCTTGCAGGAATAGGCCTGAGGAAGCCCTATTCTTGCAGGAATCTTCCTATAACGGGCCTCTAGTCCTATATAATAAAAGCCTAATATGCAAATTGTCCCCTAGACTGGGAGTTTGACCGCTCGCTATGATGTGCACTGACCACCAGGGGGCAGCGTGGAACATGGTGGGTGTTGGCGATGAGGTGCTGGCAGCGGGCTGCAGTTGAGGCGCTGCCAGCCCCAATGGGCTCCCGGGTGAGCTGGGCCACAGCCGCCGGGACCACAGGGGCCGGTCGAGCTCCCCATGGGTTTGCTCAGGAGCTGGTCTGCGAGGCCGGCTGGGAGAGAGCAAACTGCGTGCCTGGCTTTCATGTAGTGCTGCTGGGTGGCCCAGAGGCCCAAACTGTGCCCTGGCCTGTGGTGTCTGGCCATGCGCACTGCATCTCCATGTGGGGACTCGGGTGCTGTGACTCAGGCAGAGGGGTTGCGTGGGGACCTGGGGGCCCAGGTGCTGCCCAGGGCCCAGAGGTCAGCCCTTCTATGACAGATGCTTGCACTGCTATAGCTGGCCAGGCCTAGGGACCACACCTGTGCACAAATTTCGTGCACCGGGGCTCTTGCATTGTAATAGCTATGTATGGTGTCAGATGGGTACTAGATTTATCAGGGTGATAACTTAGTAAGTCATATAATGTCTAATCACTGGATTGTGAATCTGAGACTAATATAATATTGTATGTCAACTATAATTAAAAAAATAGTGAAAATATTTTAAAAAATCAAGTGGGAAATAAAAACAATACAGTCCAAACTCCTTTGACTACCAAAACCTTCCATTACTCAGGCAATCTACTTCTGAAACCACCTCCTGAGCTCTTCCCCTTGCTCATCGTGCTCCAGGTCCCTGGTGTCTTCCCTTTCTTTTATAGACAATCAGTAACTAGACTGAAGGATGCTGCTGTCATAAGATTTACTACATGATGTGGGGAGAGGGGGACTTATGATTTTTCCCTTCACCCATGAGTGCATGCTAACAAGAAGGACTGTCCTTTCAGTGACCCTCTCTTATTTAAATGCTAAAAAGAAAACCCCTGAGGGAGATTTAACATGCTAATGAGACATGGAACACATGAAAAAGCATGTAGTTATACTGCACAAGCACCAGAGCTCCCACCATACTTCGATGTCATCTTCCCCACCTCAACTTCTGTAAAACTGTTCCCTGCCTTTTGTTTGGAGAGCAACATTTCTCTTTCTCCCTTTAAATGCTGTCTCCTTCAGGGCACGAGCTGTCTCTTGATTTCTATCTCAGAAGTGTCCAAGAACCTAGGATGGTTCGGTGTTAAATTTGCACCTGTTGTGCAAGAGATCTGGGTTCTTTCCTGGCCCATGCACCAGGCCCTCTATTGGTCTCCCGTGGTCTCTTTTTATCTCTATCCTGGGAGATGGCAAGAACTCAGAATGCCCGTTAACACTACCTCCTCAAAACAGTCTTCTAATGCTGCTTCTCTTGTTTTTTATTGTCAAAAACATCCATCAATATCTGAAATCCTGATGGGTTACTAGCTAACTTCATTTTCTGTCTCCTAGGCTAGATTATAAGATCTGTGAGCACAGGGGTCTTATCTCTCATTAACTACTATATCCTCAAAGAGTAAACAGATAACCAGCTCAGATCATAGAAAATAGATAAAAGCTAGGAACAAACAACATGAGAACAGGAAGGAACATCCTAGGTCAGTGATGGCAAACCTTTTGAGCTAGACGTGTCAGCATTTTGAAAAACCCTAACTTAACTCTGGTGCCGTGTCACATATAGAAATTTTTTGATATTTGCAACCATAGTAAAACAAAGATTTATATTTTTGATATTTATTTTATATATTTAAATGCCATTTAACAAAGAAAAATCAATCAAAAAAATGAGTTTGCATGTCACCTCTGACACGCGTGTCATAGGTTCGCCATCACTGTCCTAGGCTCACGAATGGCTGAGACTCCACATATCACCGTGGTACAAAGACACCCCAGGATGGCACAGCACCAGCTCTTCTGAATGGTGTGTGGGGGGGAGCATTTATTAGGAGACAGTGCAAAATGAATTGGAGCTTCTGACTATGGAACTGCAGATCCCAATGTAGTTCAGGGAAGGTAAATAGCCCTTTCATTGAATCTTAATGAACCTCTTCCAGACTCTTGAAATTGCAACTTATCATTTGTAAAATAAAATTCTCTCCAAGTTTTACTAACATCAGAAAATATTTAGGAAAAGATGAAGAAAAGGAAATTAAATATATCCAGGTTTATCAGCTTGTTGCTGAGTCAGACTTCAGGCTAAAATAAAAATGTAATAAAATTCAGATGCTTCTGCAATTCTGATTTATGCCAATCCCTGAGAATCCAACTGTATTCTTCTAAGTTTGAAATATCTTAGCCCCTAAAGGCTTCCTTAGGCCCCAAAAGAAAATCATCTCCAGTGCCCAGGGCCATCCCCAGGCCCTGCGGGCTTCCAGGGGTCCCTAAAGCTCCCAAGCAAATGAGTCACCGCTCTCCTGGCTCAATGTCTCGGTTGTAATGCCTTTTGACACAAACCGACAGCTCTGCAATCCACTACCTGATGACATTCCAACATCTTTAAAAAAGCAGAGGCTGTTTAAAGCAAGGCATCCCTATTTACCTCCCACACAGTCCCGGATTAAAAAAATGGTTTGCTGCCCAGGTGACAGATCGTGGGAGGGTTATTAGTCACTTATAATATCTGCTTCTGCCAAACTGCAACCTAAAATCTAGACACAGGAAGCCCAGATTTACAAACATTAGTCAGACAGTTGGGCACAAAGCTAACTCCAATGTTATGGAACCATCTACGGCTTTACTTTCAACACGTCACAGTAGTGATTCTCAACCTTGGGTGCCCATGAGAATCATCAGGGAGCTTTTAAAATGTCATTTCCCAGGCTCCACATCATACCAATTACATTAGTATCTCTGCGTAGGACTTAGATGTGAGTGATTATTATTATTATTATTATTATTATTATTATTGAGATGTGAGTCATTTTTAAAGCTCCTAGGTACTTCCAGTGTATCACCAAGTTTGAGGACCAATGAATTACAGAAAGATCTGTATTTGGAATCAAATGTGCCTTCTTGGCTTCCTTTAAAACTCTCTATATAATGAAAGATTGCATTTATACACCAACACACACACACACACACACACACACACACACACACAAATTGAATCTATGGTAAAAGAAGTTGGGATAGTAGTGGTTACTCTGGTGGGCAGGGAAGGTCATAACTGGAAGGTAACCGAGGGGAGTTTAGTGTGTGTGTGGGGGGGGTATTAACATTGTTTTTGTTGGTTATATAGGTGTGTTCAGTTTGTGAAAAGTAATCAAGCTGCAAATATAACACATCAAACAAAAGTAAAAACAAAACGAATAAAAATTCCTTCTATTTCTTTCCACCTTATACACCTTCTTCTTTCCTCCTAATTAATATCTTTAATGTTATTTCCAAAATGTTAAACTGGTCAAATATTAAATAAAGCTAAATTAAACATTGACTCCAGCAATGTTAAAAAAGTATTTTAACAAGATTTAGTGATATTGCTAATAATCAAATAGGTATTTCTTGATGACATATTTAAGAGGAAATGAAAAGGTCTCTTTTAGCATTATTGTTCAACAAAAAAGTGGGGCACTTTTTCCTCTCTCTTTCTTTTTTTAAATAGTACTTTACTCACAAAAAATTTAAATCTACATTATTCTTCTTCCTTTATTCTAAACTCCATGATGGCAGAAACCACCTTCTTCACTATTTTATTCACTTTGCTTAGCACAAAACGTATAGTATTTGCTTAATAAATATTTGTAGAGGGA